TGCTTATCAGTGAGCCAGTGACAAGTTTAATGGTAGTTTTAGTAAGCTGGACTTGGAATTCTGGTCCTCAAAGAAAGAAACCACCACCAGTGCATTGCAGCTGGCATTCAGTATTTAGGGGGCTGGGGCAATGCCGGGGCTTGGTAAGGGGTGGGGGGAGGAGGTTTCTATAACTGGAGATTTTGACTGGACGTCAAGTGTGTGTAGAGGAGGAGGAGGAGGGAGTTGCGTTTGTCATAGTTCTGCCCAAACTCTTCTTTTTTTTTTTTTTTTTTTTTTAAATTTTTTTTTTTATTTATTTTTTTTTTGGCTTTTTGGGTCACACCCGGCAATGCACAGGGGTTACTCCTGGCTTTGCACTCAGGAATCACTCCTGGCGGTGCTCAGGGGACCATATGGGATGCTGGGAATCGAACCCGGGTTGCCCACGTGCAAGGCAAATGCCCTACCCGCTGTGCTATCGCTCCAGACCCCCCAAACTCTTCTTTTTATCTCGTCTGACCCTGTTCTGTGAAATCAATAACTTTCTCACAGGGACTCAAAAGATGTGAAAAGCCAGACATCCTGTCATCCCTCCTTTAGTTCATGACTGGATCGGGTTCTCACTGACATTTCCAGTGGCTGCTGAACCACACTCTTGGCCTTGTGGCACGAGGCTACTTTGTCTCATCTTTCATTATCTGGGTATGCTACGTGACTGTTCATCAACAGATGTCCATTAAGCCTACCTGCTGCCTTTTGGGGGTTTGGGGGATACAGAGTGAATTATTTATGTTTTTTAGGCTTTTAACAGCTTATATAAGACTTTCACAAATAATCTTTCTAATTCTAATAAAATTCTAGTACGATAGGTCTGCATTTTTTTCCCCTTGCTTCATGCATTGGAGGTATTCTTTTTAAACCATCTTCCAGGAAGCTACTTTATATTTATTTATTTATTTATTTATTTTTATTTTGGTGTTTGAGTCTCACCTGGAGGTGCTTAAGGTTTACTCCTGGCTCTGTGCTCAGGGACTGCCTATGTAGTGCCAAGGATTCAAACAAGAGTAGAATGTCTCCAAGGCAAGTGACTTAACCCCTTATACTATCTGTCCAAAATGGAAGCTTCATTTCTGCAGGGTGGAAAAAAACATCACAAACTCATTACAAACAGAAGTAGTTCTATGCATTATTTCATATAATGTCACTGTTGAGGTTGTGGACATTGGAACGGAACATTTGACAGTCTGGGGACTTTTCCTGGTGCCAAAGGGAATGGTCCGAGGACTCTAGATGTGGGAAAGCATTGTGTGTTCTGTATGTGCAGGCACAGAGGTGAGCAGTGACCGAGTCTGCAGTATGCAGAGGTGCTGCTTTGGTTGGAACCACATCAAGCAGTCTGCAGTTAACAGTTCAATTGCTGAGATCATTAAGCTTCAGAATTTTTTGTTGTTGTAGGGTTTTTTTGTTGTTTTTTGGGTCACATCCAGCTATGCTCAGGGGTTACCCCTGGCTCTGCACTCAGGAATTACTCCTGGCAGTGCTCAGGGGACCATATGGAATCCTGGAAATCGAACCCGGGTCAGCCGCGTGCTACCCTACCCACTGTACTATCACTCCAGCCCCTAAACGTCAGAATTTTTGACATCATTGGAGATCATGTATGTACATGAACACTTTCATGCCCTTAAAAAATATGTTAAGTTTGCATAGATGACTTTGTTCTCTTTGTGTATAAACTTATTTTACAGCAAAGTATTTAAACACATACACATTTCTTTGGCGATTCAGTTCATTTTATGCTTTCGAAACGGAAGTGTTGAGAAAGAATGTGTATTTTCTGATGTGTATATATTGTATGGATATATTCTGATATAATTTTTATGTTTGTAAGCATGCCTTATGACCTATTGAGAATTTTTTTAAAGGAACCGTAGTGTTTGTGGTCATTTAATGTTCTCCTTTTGGTTTCCTTTTAACTTAGCAAAACCTCTAATGTTGCTGATCTGAATATAATCATACAAGATGGGTTTTTCTTTCAAGTGAGAAAAAGAAAACAGCCTCTGATTTTGCATCAGGAGCTACATGTACATTATGTATTCTGTCTTTCTTAAGAAAAAACATGCTCTGATCAGTGGTGTCAACAGCTGACCCAAGAGGGATTTGTCTGCACTCAGACGCCTCTGGGAAGCCTTGCTGATCCATGGTATGGATTTCTGAAGCTTCACATGTTTTTATCAGTCAATTTCCAAGATCCCTCAGAGACCATTAAGAGAGATAATAAATCATGTGAGATTCAGTTGTGTTTAGTATCATGCAAAACACTCTAATGAGAAAGAAAATGTTTGGCTTAGAAAAAAAGAAGGAGAATGGAAATGGTTAGTGTGTCAGGGAAACCCACCCTTCTTTCTGTCAGAGTTCTGGAACCGTTCAGAACAAAGTCAAATGGACGAATGGTGAAATGCTACTTTTAGATGGACAGAAGCTGGGGTGTTGTAGCCTAGTTTGTGGGCCAGATGAGCTTACTAATTGGTCAGGAAAGAACAGCTCACCCACTCACTGTGGGTTTAGACTTCATCCTTCTCTGTCAGGAAGGACCTGCTTGTAAACTTATGAAATTGACGCCTCCTAGCTCTATGCCTTCTGGCTTCAAAGTGGAATCTGGGCTGGTTGGCCAGGCATTCTGGCTTTTGACTCTCAATTTTACCAGGAGTGTGGGAAAGTTGGGGCTATAACAGACAGACCTGAACTGAGTTTGCTAGAGATAGTGTGTTTGGTGAGGGGGAGGGGGGGGGCTGGGGGTGATGCATTGCTCCCAATGTCTTGTTCCTCGTTTTCTCCTTTTCTAAACTCTAAACCTCAGGTCTTAACTCGGTGTCGTCTTAACGGCCATCAGTGGAAGACAATCATGAGTTTTTTTCACGTGTGTCTATACAAGCTGAGTGGTTATTCCTTATCCCGTGATGCTTCAGTTTTCCAATCAATAACTATTTACTCACCACATGAGGGAGAAGTGGGTGTCTTTTTGTTATAGGAGGTTCTCTCTAAGCCATCCGAGAGCACCAAGAGCAGAGCGTTAAACCATAGAGATAGGTATTCGCAGACTGGATTGAAACACTCTCCTCTAAGAAAGCACTTAATGACACAGTATATTAAATACAAACTTGACAGCCCTGAGTCCTTCTGAAAAGCTGAACCCGGCCTGTTACGTAGTTTTAAAAATACCTAAATTTATTTTTCTTCTGTTTGTGAAATGTTTATGAGAGCCCTATTGCAAACTTTTATTTAAAAAGCTTCCGGTCTATTTATAAATTGTGCCACCATCAAATATAGGAAACTTTTTTGATAAGGAAAATAAAGACTTTGAGTCATCAGGAAGCATTGTATAGTTTAATTAGCTGTCCCTTCCCCCATTTAGTTTTTATGAAACCATAGTGTAACTTATAATTAGCTTGGATCTGAGATTTGATGAAATTCATTTGTTTAGGTTCTGTGGATCTCGTATCAACCTTCCCAGCCAGCCCTGTGCAACCTGAATGATAATTCTTCCTTCCCCTGAAACTTCCATGTCTCTTTGTACCTCTTTGACCTGGTGAACAGAGAAACATTTTTATGATCTTATCAGTGATATCCTTGCATTGTTTCTCAAGTGTGCTTTTGATTATTAAAATACACACACACACACACATATTAGGTAGTTACAGTAGTTTTCCTGCACAGCAGAGCCTGGCAAGCTCCCCGTGCCATATTTGATATGCCAAAAACAGTAACAACAAGTCTCACAATGGAGACGTTACTGGTGCCCACTCGAGGAACTCAATGAACAATGGGAGAACAGTGCTACGGTAGTTTTAGGTCGATTGCCTCGAGCAGGCCCCAGTAACGTCTCTTTCATCCTAGCCCTGAGATTATATTCAAGGCTATTTAGGAGAATGAGACCCATCATTATTACTGGTATTTGGCATATTTGGTACGCCACGGGGAATTTGCCAGACTCTGCCCTGTGGGCAGGCTACATTCGATAGCCTGCAAGTTTGTCCAAAGTAGGAATGAGACAATAAGATGTCATAAAAAAAGTTCTGATAAGATGTCGAGCGGCCGCGTTTGTGGCTGCGCGGTTCCGGGATCTGTATTTTATAGTCTCTGAGTCTTGACCGCTGATGGGATTACACGGCGCCAGGGGGCCAGGTGGTGGGTGTGACCCCCGCCTACTGGAATTTGGAGGATCTGGGTGGAAGATGCTCGACTCCAATTCGAGTAGACTTGGAGGTCTCGGCCCCGGAACCCGCGTGGCTTTGTCCCTCTGCCAGTACCTTTATGTGTGCGGAGAGTGGTCTCAGCATGGTGGTGGCTGGTCCTGGAGGTCTTTGGCTGCCGGAGCCCTGGTCGGAGCGGGGAGGAAAGCTCAACCCGCTCCTCTCCAAGGGGCCCCGGGAAGGAACACCCAGGCGCGGGGGCAGAAGACTGCACTGTTCTCGTCCGGGATCTGTATTTTATAGTCTCTGAGTCTTGGCCGCTGATGGGATTACACGGCGCCAGGGGGCCAGGTGGTGGGTGTGACCCCCGCCTACTGGAATTTGGAGGATCTGGGTGGAAGATGCTCGACTCCAATTCGAGTAGGCTTGGGGGTCTCGGCCCCGGAACCCGCGTGGCTTTGTAGTTTTAGGTATCGATATAAAATTACTGTTCCCCACCACCAAACTGTCACTGACCCTCCAGCGCAGTCAGTATGCCCCCTCAAGTCTGCTCTTTATTAATCCTCTCCCCCAACACACACTAATGCTTTTTTATTCCAATGCCAAGGTCTTTTCATGGAAAAAAAATGGGGTTTCTCTTGCTCTAGAGTGAAAATACTGATCCACAGTTTACGAAGACTGAATTAAGTCACTTAAAATAGTATGGTTGAAATCCAAGGCAATTGTCTTTGAAGATGGTTCTCCTGGGGACAGAGTGAGTGTCTTCTGTGAAAGTTGCTATAAGCTAAATCTCTGTTTTTTTCCCTTTTTTTTTTTTTCTGAAAGGGGGCCCAGATGACAACTTAATGGAAGGTGGAGGAACAAAGTTTGTCTGCAAACCTGGAGCCAGAAATATTACCGTTATATTTCATCCATTACTAAGGTAAGTCAGATTGTACGATGTACTTACGGAAAATCAATATTTTCATTATTTTATGCTGATGTGCTGAGTGCCAGTAGGTTAGTCAGTATTGAAACGAGTCATAAAAAGCTTGTTCCATTTTCTCAGACTTCACTATCAAGGTTAGTCAATAGAAGAAATAATGTTAACTTCACTAAATATTTGTTCTCAGGGGGGATATTCTAGAACCACTTTTATATGATTTTTCTCTCTTTCTCATTACTAGTCCCTGGTCCACCTCTCCTTTCTTTGTTTCAGGGATGGAAAGGTTTGGTGTCTCACAGGGCAAATCTAGTCTGCCATTTGTCTTTTTAAATAAAGTTTTGCTGGCACATAGGCCACTTCCTCCATTGATGTGCACTCCAGAGCTTCTTTCGCATTCTTTTTTTTTTTTTTTCCCCTTTATTTTATTTTATTTTTTTTTAAAGTTGTAGATTTACAATTTTTTGTGCTTTGGTTTCAATTATACAATGATCAGATACCCATCCCTCCACCAGTGCCCATTTTCCACCACCATGGATAATATCCCTCCCACCCCCATCCCCCCATCCCCCCGTCTCTGTGGCAGGGCAATCCCCTGTGTTCTCTCTCTCCTTTTGGGTGTTGTGGTCTGCAAAAGAGGCATTGAGTGGCAAACATGTTCAGTCCATAGTCTACTTTCGACATGCATCTCCCCTCCTGGGAGGATCCTCCAAACATCCTTTATTTGGTGCTCCCTTCTCTATCTGAATAGCCCTTTCCTCTAGGATACCCGGCTGGCCTCTAAGTTATGGAGTAATCCTCCTGGTGCTGATCTCAGCTATTCTTGAGTATTAATCTCATACTTTGTTACTTTATATCCCCCAGATGAATGCAATCTTTCTATGTCTATCCCTCTCTTTCTGACTCATTTCGCTTAGCATGATACTTTCCATATTGTACCACTTGTATGTAAATTTCATGACTTCATCTTTTCTAAGAGCTACATAGTACTCCATTGTGTAGATGTACCAAAGTTTCTTTAACCAGTCATCTGTTCTTGGGCATTCAGGTTTCTTCCAGTTTCTGGCTATTGTAAAGAGGGCTGCAATGAACAAACAAGTGCAGATGTCACTTCGACTATACATTTTTGCCTCTCTGGGATATATTCCCAGGAGTGGTATTGCTGGGTCAAATGGGAGCTCAATTTCTAATTTTTTGAGAATCGTTCATACTGTTTTCCAGAAGGGCTGAACCAGTGGACATTCCCACCAACAGTGAAGGAGTGTCCCTTTCTCGCCACATCCACGCCAGCATCGGTTGCTTTTGTTCTTTTGAATTTGGGCCCGTCTCTGAGGAATACTGGTTAAACTCCACAAGAAGAAAACATCCAACCCCATCCAAAAATGGGGCAATGAAATGAACAGAAACTTTCTCAAAGAAGAAATCCGAATGGCAAAAAAGCACATGAGAAAATGCTCTACATCATTAATCATCAGGGAGATGCAGATCAAAACCACAATGAGATACCATCTCACACCTCAGAGACTGGCCCAAATTCTTTCGCATTCTTAATTGCAGAGTTGAATATTTGCAGAAAGCCCACATAGCTCCCAAAGCCTAAAATCGTCATGACCAGGCCTTTACTGTAAAAACAAGAAAATGCAGATCTGTGATCTTGCTCCTTAATTTACTCTAATGACTTAGCTCTCTTTTGAGAAATGGCAGATTTCTGAACAGATCTGATGTACAGTGTTACAGGCCCCTCGGTAGGTCTGGCCATTTTCAAGTGGAAATTGGAAAAGAAATGGGCACGGAAATAGTGGCTACTGTGGTCTTTGATGTCTTAGTCTCTGGCACAGGAGGCAGTCACAAGACCCATCTGGAGAAGTCCCCCGCTCTCACTTGGACTGGGAAAGATCTTCCTTTTTCTTTTTCTTTTTTAAAAAATTTTTATTAGTGAAACACCATGAGGTACAGTTGTAGACTTACACATTTTTGTGCTTGGGTTTCAGTTATACAATGATCAAGTACCCATCCCTCCACCAGTGCCCATTCTCCACCACCCCTGATCCCAGCATCCTTCCCGCCCCCCATCCCCCTCCCACCCTGCCTCTGTGGCAGGGCATTCCCTTTTGTTCTCTCTCTCCTTTTGGGTTGCTGTGGTTTGCAAAAGAGGCATTGAGTGGCAATCATATTCGGTCTATAGTCTAAGAAAGGGACAGACATAGAAAGATTGTATTCATCTGGGTAACATAAAGTAATAAAAAAGGAGACTAACATCCAAGAATAGCCGAGATAGGTGCCAGGAGGTTTACTCCATGGCTACGAGGCCAGCCACACATGCTAGGGGAAAAGGCAGCTTAGATAGAGAAGGGAGCACCAAATAAAGCAAGATCTTTCTTGGATGCATAGGAAGAGTATGATCGCTGCCCCACCAGCCCGAACTACGCTTTAGGGGTGGTGCCCTGCCAGAAGCTTAGGTCCTGTGGAATTGTTCTGTGACCTATACACAGGTTTTAGTCGCCAGTGAAATCTCCACCTGAGGCCAGGTGGAGAGTTTCCAAATGAGTGGGGGAAACCAGGAGGGTCAGCCTCATGGTCTGTGTTGGTACGAGCTTTTTGAGGCTGGTATCTCCTGCGGAGTCTCTGTATCAGAGATATGCCACTCCAGTTCACAGAGCCCAGCCTCTCCTGTTGAGGTGTGAGCACAGAGTGGGTGCTGTGGTTAGGGCAGGACTTCCACAAGACCGCCCCCATATTAGCAACTACAGTGATAGCTTTGTTACAGGGACTCTTCAGAGATCAGCCTGACAGCAAAGCCACGGGCCTGTCATCAGCCCTTGTCATCAGCACTGTGTACTCCAAAACTAAAGTCCAGATGGTACATTTTACGTTAGGGGTGTTTTGTCCACAACAAACAGAGGAACTTCAAAGGCCACAGATCTCTGATAGAGTGTGAATTGCGTGGATTTGTTTTTTCTATAATGAACCCATCGAGTGTATGGGGTTTATTTTCATGTGTTGGATCTGAGACTCCTGGGTTCATTCAATGAGAGAGGCCTCACATCTTTCCACTAATATTTAAGGCATTTGGAATCATCACATTTCAGCAAAAGAAACTGAATTGGTTGTTGATAATGCTATACAGGCTTTACCCAGAACACCAACAGTTGTTACTTTCTCATTTAACAAAGACTTTCTAAGTTCAAGTCGCTGATTAAGGTGACCACTTTTTAAGATTGTTGTGGAATATGTTACCTGATATGTTTTGAGTGCACAAACAGAAATATAAATTAAAATCCAAACCTCTGACTTCCCTGCAACGTAAAAATGAGAGCTTTGTAAAGCAATGTTATGAGGTCGGTAAAAACAAAAATCTTTTTATAACTGAAGTGTAGCAAGTACATTTATGTAATTTAAGAAACATGGAATTAAGGGAGTAAGTTTATTTTTCTCTCAAGTTTAGTTGATGACATGCACATACATGTGAGTTACAGCATATAGAATTTCTAGATTAAATAACAATGGGCATTTATATCAATTGACTTAAGTAAGTAGTTTAATACTTATTGTCTCCCCCAATTACCATTGATTTCTACTTAGGGTTGCTAATTGTTAGGAAAATGGGAAAATAACTTAATCATTATAGACACTTTCTAGCCTACATTTCAACCATAGTTTTTACTGCTGTTATGCTGATAAATGAAATATGCTTTATTTGTCCCTAAGTAGAGAATTAAACCCATTGCAAGGCTTGTTTGCTTCTTTCCTCAGAGAATTTTTGCTAAACTTTATTTTTAACATGAAGTTATCAGTATGGAAGAAAAAATATTTAACATGTAATAAAATGTTTTTCTGTTAAAACATTGGTAGAATTTAGTGCATTGTAATCTTGATAGTTATATTTTGGTATTGTACTTATGTGGTTTAACTCGGGAATTCTTTCAAAGCTTGATAGAACTGGTTTACGCAGTTGTTTCGGTTCATTCCGAATTTTAATGTATTATTGATTAGAACTGAAAAATATTTTGTTGCATGATATAAGGACTTTGCCGTTCTTTGTGTATCTCTTAATAGAAGTTGCAAAAATATTATGTGGTCCGCAAGGTAAGTTTATTTCTTGCCCAAGCAGGTAATCATTACAGCATTTAAATTATTCTGTGTTTTAAATGGCACCCTTGCCTCTGAAACTCATTATAAAATCTCAGTTGAAAACTTGTAACGGTTTATGAAACTGTAAATGACTAAGATTTTTTAGTAATGTTTTAGTTTTTACGGTTCGTCATTTGCTGAATATTGGATTTATTATTTTTTGCTCAAGTTTGATGATTTCCTGTTGGTTATGAGAAGATTCACTTGTGGTATCTCACTAGTATATTTCATATTTTACTGGTACCACTTATGAATTTCGTACTTTCCATCCTATGGAATTCTCATGGCTCTTTTTTTCCCCCAATTAAGTGAAACTCGGTATTTTATTGTTTACAGACCAGTTTAGTTTAGTGGGAGAGATGGTGAGAAGAATGGAAAGATGGTCTGGGAAAGCACAGGATCTGAAATATAAAATGAAAAGCAACGGTCATTTCGGTTCAAAATCTCGGTTTCTTTCACTTCGGTGTTACTCCTGAATTATTTATTGGACTCCGATTCCATGCCGGATCCTGGGGAGCGACATCAACAACAACAATAAGATTATCTTTGCCTGTAGGTTCTCACTTTGTAGCAGACATTTACAGACTCAAAAACACTGATTATTGGAGAAAATATAGATCAGGGGCTTCCTACACCTTGTATGTAAATCGGTACGGCCTTTCTGGAAACCAACTTGTCATTATTGAGCAAATGCTTCTGTTCTAATCGGGTAACTTCCCCTCTGATGCCTTGCTGTTTCTAAAAATAGGGGCTTCATGCAGCAGCTCTGGGTTGGGTGGAATAATTCCAGGCCACAGCTGCTGGGACTGGGGACAGTGCCAGTGACGGAACACGTGCCTCACACATGGTAGGCATGTTTTCTACCATTT